GGTCATGATGCAGATAATCAGGAAAGATATAATCCTATACCTATGAATCCAGCATTTCCTAATGATCGTCATCATATGGGATTTTCACCTCATCCTCAAGGACCTAATGGTGCAGCACCAACAATGATGCCACCAGAATTTAATGGATCACCATTTCCCACACCTTATGGACAATATCCACCATTTCACGGTTTTTCACCAGTAGCAGCTGCAACAGGTGGAATAATGATGGGACCAAATGGACAACCAACGGCGGTACCAGCTACACCACCGCCACCACCACATCCACATCAAGCACCACCACCAGGATTTCATCCACAACAACAGCAGCAACATCATCATCATCACCATCATCAACAATATATGGTTGCTTCGGATTCAGGAGATCAACAACAATCACAACAACAACAACAACAACAAAATCCTGAAATTTATAATAATACTACAAATATACAAAATATGGATCCACATCATTCACATCATCATCAAGGACAAGGACAACAACAACAACAACAACATCAACAACATGGAACATCAATGGAAATGCATATGGAAGGTGTAACTCCCACTTCCTCTACTTCTCCTAATTCAACTCCTCAATCAGCATTTACTAGTTTCGAATCACGTCCAATTTCAACTTCTACTCCTACTCCTACCACAACTGCTAATACTAATAATACTACAACCAATAATAATAATAATAGTAATAATAATCATAATTCAAATTCTACTACATCAAATACTAACAATAATAATAATAATGGTGATAATAATGGTAAACCATTTATGAAAATTGAAGTTCCTCAATCAACTAATACTAATTCTTCGAATATGGAACACGATGCACTCACGTCACCTGCCGCTTATCATTCACAAGAATACGTAGATGGATTTCATTTATATCATAATAACAATAATCCAACACATGAATATCATTCAGATACTGAACAACAACATCATCAACAACAAATTGCTCAACAACAACAACAACAACATATACAACAGCAGCAAGTTGTTCATAATAGTAATGGAGTAAATAATATTGATAATAATAATGATAAAACATCAACAACAACAGCGGGAGGGGGAGGAGCAATAGCGGTTTCATCATCAACGCATATTAATAATCATCAATCGACAACACCAACTACTACTACTACCACTACCACTACCACTACTACTACTAATAATGTACAATTACCTCAACAATCACCGTCACAGAAACCATTACCACCGTCACAGATTAATAATAATAATAATAAAAATGTTAATAGTAATGATAAATTATCCGCGGATCATGTACCCAAATCTCCTTTATTGTCATCGTCATCATCATCATCATCACCACCGTCACCAACAACAACGGATACAAATACTTCCGCGATGACAACAACAACAACAAAGGCACCATCATCTTCAACACTTACCAATATTACAACCACGACTACGACTACGACGGCAGCGGAAACAACGACAAATAATAATCGACAACGAAATGAATGATTATTATCATCATTATTAAGCAAAAAATAAGATGTATATTTTTTTGGATTAAAATTTTTTGATTCTTTCCTCTTTTTTCTTTTTTCTTTTTTTTCTCTTTATTTTATTTTTTTTTTTAAATCATTTTACGACCCTTTTTTATTCTCTATTCATTTATCCTATTCTTTTTTCACTTACTCAAGTTTACCGTGTTTTT